GAAAAATGATGAGAAATGGAAAAAATGGAAATAAAGTCTTTGTAAACAGGATAGGGTGGAGGGGGTGAAGGGAGGGCTAGGAATGGGGAAAAAGTAATAATCAAGATGCATCATGTAAAGGTACAAGTTCCCAATGAGAAATGTAATTGTGTTGTATACCTAAAATGTACCAAAAAAGTTTAGTGTAAAAAACAGCAAAAATATATTAAAATAACTTGCCTTTTTGATAGTTCCAAGATAAAACAAGCCATCTGACCATCTAGCTAGGACATCCTGACCCTCTTCAAATTTACATGCTGGCTTTTTGGCTTTATGTCCATCCTGTAAAGACAGCTTGGTCAAGGACGTTGGGGTCTTTTGGTTTCGACGTAAAGGAGACCGCTTGTGGACCAGTGAATTACCTGCCCCTGTAGAGTCTCTGTTTGGGGAATAAAAGACCAAATATAAGACTTACTAACAGAGCTTATATCAATAATACATTGCATTTTAACATAATCAAAACAGTTGTTAAAAACCTTCAGATGTGGGAAATACAACAAGTACTTTAAATAACAAATATTCTCTAAATAAGACTAAAATAAAATTATAGCATTTCTCAATATTCATCCATTGCCCCTTACTAAGCAACTACTCAAACATAACATATTTGAGCAGCTGTCATCAAATAACATTTGTTAAGCTGAAATAGGCAGGCCTCCATCATAACTTGAATCTCACAACTAGCTTTAAATCTAAAAAATAAAAGTGAATTAAGCCTTAATCTCTTAACTATGCCATATACAGTTTAGACACATTAACTATGGCAGACTAGAGATATATTCACACACAGTGGACGAGCAGTCATGGCTTCTCTACAGTGAATCACTACTGAACTTTGCCTTTTATTTTGGGATACGTTTCACAATTCTTCAAATATGCAGACTGGGAGCTTTAAAAAAAATTGAGATCCACCAATTTCACAAAATCACATTCAAATATAAAGTGTATCATAAGAGCACTTATTTTTTTTTTGGTACCGGGGATTGAACTCAGGACCTTGCACTTGCAAGGCAGGCAGCGAACCACTGAGCTAAATCCCTGGTCCAAGAGCACTTACTTTTTAAGCAAAAAAAATAAAAGAAAAAACCCTCAAAATAATATACTGCAAAACTATAGCTCATGTCATATCATTCCATAAATAGCATAACATACCACCACCAATTTTCTTTTGTTTTTGTTTGTTTTGGTACCGGGGATCGAACTCTGGACCTTGCGCTTGTGCTTATTGTGCTTCTTGTGCTTCTTGCGCTTCTCGGCAGGCGCCAGAACCACTGAGCTAAATCCCCGGCCCAACCACCAATTTTCTTAAAGGTAAAAAAGGAGGAGAGTTAGTGTTGAAAAAAGGTATATTTTAAAGATACCCAAAGAAATAACAAAGGCCTTCCCCCATTACTGAAAGCATTCATCTATACATTCAAGTTCAACAAACTCCATGTACAATAAGAACAGAGATCTACCCTCAATCACAACACAGTAAAAATTCTGCAAGACAAAAACAAAAATTTGAAGGCAGCAAGAGAAAAATTACTCATAATGTATAAGGAAATCACGGATCAACAGATGACTACTCATCAGAAACAATGCAGGGAAAAAAATAGTGGGATAACACAGTCAAAATATAAACAAAAATCTGTCAACCAAGAATCTTATAGGTAGCAAAACTGAAACAGACATTCTCAAATAAAAACTGTACTTGTTATCAGAGGAGTTATCTTATAAGTGTTAGAACTGAGCTACATCCCCAGCCTAACCCATCAGCCCCTTTTGTGGAGAAAGGGTCACTCATCCTAAATTGCCCAGGCTGGCCCTGCACGTGAGATACTCCTGTCTGAGCCTCCCAAATTCAAGGAATTACAGGAATTTACTACCACTATGCCCAATTTCTAAAATTCTCAAGGTTGAAAGGAACTAAATGCAGAAGGAAATTCAAACACCCCCCCACACACAACCATTAAAGGTAACTAATTATAAAAGACTATGAGTGGGATGGCTGGGGATTTAGCGCAGAGGTTTCGCCGCATGCTGCGCAAGCGCAAGGACCCAAATTCAATCCCCCGTACCAAAAAAAAAAAAAAAGACTATGAGTGGGGCCAGGGATTTAGCTCAGTGGTGCTGCTGCCTGCCTTGAAAGCACAAGGTCCTGAGTTCAATCCCCAGTACCAGGAGGAAAAAAATTTTTTTAAAAGACTATGAGTGAACATTTCCTCTAAAGCAAATACACAAAGTATATAATCATACTGTTGGGCCTACAATATATAGAAATGTAGTATATTTGACAAGAACAGCATAAAGGAGGTGGTTAGGGGCAAAACTGTATTAAAGAAATGACACAAGATATTAACTCAAACCCACTGGAATGAAGAAAACCAAGAGCTTAAATAAAAGGTTAAGTATAAAAAGGTCTGTCATATCAAGAAAATATTTACAACATGCATAAGTGATTCACTGTTTCAAGTAAAAATAGAGTTCCATGAAATAGCTACTAATTAAGATGATAATTCCAACTATGGCAAATATCTTATACATACTTCCTATTTCATCACACATGATATTAAAAACCTCAATTCAGGTCCAGATTTAATAACTTTTTACTATTTCATCAAAAATGGTCAGGGGTGCCGGGGATTTAGCTCAGTGGTTCTGGCACCTGCCCCGCAAGCACAGGTCCCGAGTTCCATCCCTGGTACCAAAAAAACAAAAACAAAAACAAAAATTGTCAGGGGCTGTTCAAGTGGCACTGTGCCTGCTTTGCAAGTGCAAGGTCCTGAGTTCGATTCCCAGTACCAAAAAAAAAAAAAAGGTCAAATGTGAAATAAGATTTCGTGTTTATTTTATATTTTCTACTTTCAGAGTATTTGACAATGAATCAAAGGTGTGACTGAAAATTACAGTAAATATTTTAAAATTTTTATTACTATAAAAGATACATTACCATTAATCCCCCCTCAAAAATCTCCTCACTTTGAACACACTTATTTCATTGTTCTTGCCACTTTCTGAAGTCTTCTTACATGAGTGTCTTCAGATGTGCTGTCATGGCAGCCTAAATGTCCTGAATGGATTTACTTTTCATGGTCATTTTGACTTTGCAAAAGAGCCAGAAGTTAAACAGTACCACAATCAGTGAATAAGGTCAGTGAAGACACTGCAATGTTTTTATGAGCCTACCTTTCCACTGGTCAGCCCTTGGCAGGAGCATTCACTATATTTTTGATCATACCTTGTAAAGACACACAAAAGACCAGAAAGTGGCAAGAATGATGGGTAAGTGTGTTTGAAGCAAGGGGGATTATTCTGAGGGCAAATAATGGCAATGTGTCTTGTACTATCATTTTTAAAAATTTTAAATATTTACCATATATTTCAATTATACCTCATCTTAGGACAGTCTGATGCCACTACCTTGAAAGATGCTAAAAGCACAAAGCAATTTTATCTAACCCTGTTTCTGCACATCTACAAATGTCAACAAGGCAGGAAAGGAAAAACAAACAAACAAACCATCTGGATGTATTATAGCATTGGCTATTCAAGGAGGCTGAGGCAAGATGATGGCTTGAACCCAAGTACTGAAGACTGAGCGACATAGCAAGATTCTCATCTCATACCTCAAAGAACTAGGACTGGAGGTCCCATTTGACCCAGCTATTCCCCTGCTGGGTATCTTCCCCAAAGAATTAAAAGAATCATACCACAGTGATATATGAGCACCCATGTTCATAGCAGCACAGTCTGTAATAGCTAAAACTTGGAAACAGCCCAAATGCCCATCAACTGGAGACTGGATAAAGAAAATGGTTTTTAATAAAATGGAGTACTACTCAGCCACCAAAAATGAGAAATTAGAGATATTTATTGCTAAATGGATGCACACTGAGGTGATACTCTTAAGTGAAATAAATAGGACACGCATGTAATAAATACCGAATAGTTTCTCTTAAGTGAGAAACTGAAAGTGTAAATAAGGACTAAAAGGTATAATAGATAATGTGAAATAGGAAGAAAAGGGGCAAAGGGGAGGCGGAAGCAGAAGGGGTCGGGGAAAGGAAAGAAGGGAATGGAATTAATATGAGAAAATGAAAAAATGGAAACAAAGTCTTTGTAAATAGGGAGGGATGAAGGGGTTGAAGGGATGGCAGGGGAAGGGGAAAAAATAAGAACCAAGAGAGTATGTAAAGGTGCAAATTTCCAATGATGAATGTCATTATATTGTATACCTAAAATGTAACAATAAAAGGATATACAAAAAAAAATTCTCATCTCAGAAAATAAGCAAACAAAACAAACTTACTATTTTTTAATGCTTAAAGGGTCCACTGATCAGATGCTGAGAACCACTGTTCTAAATAAAAGGAATATATATTGCCCTTTATTGTTGTTACAGTCAGCGATGAGTGCTAGAGAATTTTTAAAAATGGAAGATAAATCACAATTCTATCAGCAGGGATGTTCAAGGCCAGACTAAGAACCTTCTTCTTTTAGACACTGAAACAATTTAACACCTTCAAATCAGAGTATGAAAATGACTCTACTGACAATCAGTTTTTTAAAAAGCTGTAAGTCCATTGACTATTTGATTTTTATATCCCTTCAGTTAAAATAACTAATCATGCCTCAACAATAAAATTAACTTGAGAGAGAAATGACCATAACAGATTACCAGAGGTATTTTGCTAAGACATAGAATCTTCCAATTCTGGACCGGAATATGTACAAAAAAATAAAAATCGCAAATATTCCAAGAGTTTCATATGCTCTGCTATTGCTCCAACATATGCGTTCCCTTTTCATGATAGCAATATCCGGGTTTTTGTTGTTGTTTTCCTATTCCTACCTTACGCTCCACTTTACTACTCACATTACACAGTACTTCAAGCATTTTTATTTTTCCATCCCCTAATGCAATGATGGCAAACCTTTTAGAGCTTCCAATGATACAAACAGCCCGCTGAGACACATATGGCATAGGTTCACCCCCACTACACTGTTTCTGCCCTACTTCTATTTTGGTGTGTTGTGTTTCAGGAGACCTGACTCAGCTGAAGTTAGCCTTAATTCCCGATGCCTTCCTCTATCACTTTCTCTTTATCTTTTACTCCTATTCATAGCCAAACCTCTCGTAAGATTACTATACACATTAAGTATTTGCATATTCATTCACACATCATTTTGGGGACCCATATTAGGAGCCATTTACTGTGCCAGGACTGACATATACACAGGTAATTTAATACTCAAGAGTAGTGCTATGGAGAAGACATTTTTGGAGATGAAAATTTTACAGTTACTTTCTCACAGAAACTGCAACTTGCAAGACAAAATAACTTGACAAAGGTTAAAGAATACCAAATCAGGGCCAGCATTTAATAAATCTTTTTTTTAAACTGGTAACTTTTAACCATGGCATTCAACTATGCTGAACATCTCACAAAAATATGGGGGAGGGGATAAATTCTCTTAATACTTTATGCCCTCTTCCCACCATTTTCTCCTGTTTCTTTCTTCCCATTCACAGCCAAACCTCTGGGGGAAAGTTATATAGACTTATTATCTCTAATTCTATAATCTTCCCTATTTATTCTTCAATCCAGAGCAACTCATACACCCCTAACCTCCACTAAAAGCAGGTGTCTGTTAACAGCTTACAGACAATGCTCTGTATAGAGTATCATATATAAAGGTAGACCAGTTAATGATGAATTTATAAAGTTGAAGTCAAGAAAATCTACATTTTTTTCAAAAGAACTATATGAAACAAATAATCTCAGTTCTGCCCTAACACACTGATTCATATCTAAGGCAGATTCACACCAATCTTTTACCTCAATAAATACAAAAACCATCACATAAAAAGACATTAATCATTTGCAAAAGCATTACCGTCTTTAAAATTTTTCCAATCAAAGAAATCTTACAGAAAATAAAACAAAAGGTAAATGATGCATAATACCGAATTAAAACCTAAGATAAACACCTTTGTACATATACCCAACTGTTTAAATTTTTCTATTTTCCCGTATCATTAATTATTTCTCTCCTTTCTAGAATGTGACCTTTACTAGGAGGCAAATTAATTTTCTATTTTAAAATTTATTATTCCCTTTCACATTACAAAGGTAAATATGCTGATGGTAAAATAAGTGAACATAGAAACACATAGTTAAAAATAGTAATTCCCCGTGCTATTCTGCCACACAAAAGAAATTTTATGCCGGTTTTTCTTACGTATATATTACATATATGGATAGATATAATTCATATCTTTAAAGCAAAAATGGAACATTTTATATGTATTATTTTCTATAAATTTTCTCCCAAAATATACATGGTATGTTCAAAAAATACAGGGAACATTTAACCTTTTTTTCAAAAAAAGGTTATTACAGTAGAAGACATACTGCCATTAATCCCACTCAAAATAGTCCTCTCACTTCAAACATACTTATCCCATCATTCTTGACATTTTCTGAAGTAGTTCTGCAAGTC